AGCCGACCATACACCCAGTATGATAGCGCAAAATCGCGAATCGCGATACCATACTGGGTGTATGGTTGGCGGTTTGCGATTTTGCGAGTGTGGTAAAATCGCATAACAGCAAAATCGCATAACAGCCGAGCATACACCCAGCAGCGCTGCTGATGCCTGAACGGTATGTGGAATGAAGTGGGTGGGCATCGGGAGGCCACTATGGCACGGGGCAAGCACTATGGGCAGTCTATCTGAAGTGTACCTGGCGTATAAGACGACCGCCCACTTGGAGGCATATTTTTCAGGGCCAAAAAATCTTCTTATACGCCGGCAAATACGGTAATTCACCCTATTAGAGTTGACATGGTGGGATATAAAGTGAGGTTATTTTTTAACAATATATTTGTATTGATTTCAGAGAGGAAGGGAGTGGGAAGAGATAGAAACATCAATAATGAGAGAGAATCATTGATTGGCTGCCTCCTGCACGCCCCACACTGGGGATCAAGCCCACAACCTGAGCATGTGCCCTGATCAGGAATCGAACCCGGACCTCCTGGTTCATAGATGCTCAACCACTGAACCATGTTGGGATTAAATTGGGATTATTTGAATCCACACACTTGTGTGACTTGAGGCAAATAACTGTTTTTTTATGGCCTCATTTTCCTATTTCAAAATAAAGCTGTTGGATTAGCTTCCTTTGAATTCTAAAATAGTAGTCAGCAAACTTCTCTTAAACCAGCCAGATAGTTAATACTGTCGACTTTGTGGGCCACATTCATTCTGTCATGCACTCTTTGTTTACAATTATTTTAAATTATTTTAAAAAAAAAAAAAAACTCTTAGCTCATGGGGTCATTAAAAAATAGGTGATGATCTAAATGTTAGCCCATCCCTGCCCTAAAATATGATTATCTGATTAATTACCAAAAAACTATTTCAAACTAATGGACTAAAAACTGCTTTCAACTGCATATGGTAATGCCTTCAAAATAAAAATAATAATCACTATAATACATAGGAACAAAGAAGGAACTGATTTGGATTTTTGCCTAATTTGGAAAATAGATCTGTTTTTCATCCATTCAGTAAAAAATATATTTTGAAGTGAGTTTTCAAAAAATCCAGGTGGGTATACCCTTCATTGCCTTGGGAGACAGAGTAAGCATTTAGAAATTACTTGTTAACTCTATGAGAAAATTATCACAATCGTATGATAAACTAAAAGGCATGCCTCATTCTTAAGATAATCACAGCCTGCTATCAATTAACCACATTCTGTTTTCTCTAGTATAAGTATAAGGAGATATTTGAAAGGACAAAGTCAAATTTCAAGTATGAAGCCGATTGTCCAATCAATAGGCATTTCAAGTATGCAACTCAGTTGATGAATGAGGTATGTATGACCTGACCCAATTACCCTATGCAGTTCCTTCCGAAGTCTATAGACTTATTTGATTACAACCCAATAAGTAAAATGACAGAAAAGCCTTTCTAAGTGTTGATTCAAGATAAAGATCTGGAAAGACTCTTATAAAGTCACCCTCTGATGGGCTCTGCTGAAAGCATGAACAAGACCAAATGAAGGGAAGTGCCGAGTGGTGGGAGGGCCCCACAGCCATCACCACTCTGTTCCCGCTAGCACAGGGCAGCACAGCCTTTTGGGTGATGACAGCAAGGAGGTACAGGATGTTGTTGCCTATCAGCTGAACTCCCTAAAACAGGATACTGTGTAGAATTGGGAGACACAGAAGTTCAAGGTTAATTTAGCATCTCTACCATGGGACAGAAATGGCAGTAGTTGGAAAAGCCACCCTTAAAGGGATTGTTGTGATTTGGCATTCAATTGTATTGCCATTGTTTACTCATATATTGGTGCAGAGAAGTAGCCATTTGTCCCCAAAATATTCTTTTATTTTCTACCTAGTCTTTCCTGGAACTATCTTTGTAATAATTTAAGTTAAATTTAGCTTAAAATGACTGAAATAACCAAGCTATTGATTAACTTAAATGTTTGGATGGTTTTATATTTAATTTCCTATCTTTGGACATTCCACAGATTTACATGAATTCATGAACGATGTTAGAAAATTAGTAAAATGTATCTAAAAATGGAAATGTAACCAATGGTATATTTTTTTCAATATATGACTTTTTTCCCCTTTGTAATTTGATTTTGTTCATTTTCAGTAGCTTTCCAGGTGGAACAACTCTGAAGAATTACTGTTAGTAGATGCCTAGAATACAGTCTTGATATATTTTATTTCTATTTTTCACACTCACAAAGGATTTCCAGGTCTCTTTTATAATTAAATAAACTAATTAGCTTTAGAAGACTATTAGAATTTTTCATGAATATTCCTTTTGATTCTCACAGTCTTAGATTGTAGACCTGTAGATTATCATGCCTTATTTTAAATACAATGTAAGGTGCCATAAATCCTAACATTACTAATGGCATCCTATGTAGAGATGGAAACTGTTTAGGCACAAGGTACTCCAATTTAGTGTCATAAATCCGCTCTATCCCAAGCCCCAGCCCTCTCCAGGCAGTATTCCCTCACTTAACTCTCTTTGCCTCCCTGTGTTTATCCCGGATGCTTTGGGCGCCCACCTCCCAAAATGAGATATTTCTGGTCCTCTGGAGTGTTTATCTGGGGACATATCTGTGTAGCCTTGAGGTTGTACTCTTGCTATAATTTGATCTGATGTCCGAGCAGAAAAAATACAGAGCTGATTATCACCAGAGGAAAGATAAATACCACCTGGTAGTCGATGAGCCTAGACATCTGCTGGCTAAGATCGCAGGCGACCAGATCAGTCAGGTACTGTGATGGGGCTGGTTGGCCAGCCCAGGCAGGACTGCTCCAGGTTTCTCATGAGATGTTGTCCTGTCTGCTGCAAGGATGTCATAGGTTCTGCCTATGATATTGGGATGTTCTGTTTCACAGTATCTGTCTAGCCACCCAAAGAGCCCATGAGCTCTTTGAGTGTGCCAGTCCACGCTCTATGTGCTCACAGGTGCTGCAGTGAAGAGGAAAAGGAAAGCTGGGTCTTTCCACCCTTTATTCCTCTGGAAGCCCTGTTTTTAGCCTGCAGTTGTAAATTGCAAATTGAGTTGCAAAACCAAAAACAAAGAAGCAAATTCATAAAAGGAAAGAAAACAAAACTCCCTGCCATATTTTCCTACTCCAATGATGTCCTTTTTCCTATAAGGCATTTCCTATGCCGTTCATTCCCCATTCACAAGGATGATGGATGGTCAACTGCAGGTGTTACAGTCCCTCTGCTTGGCATTGTAATATATTCGGTGTCTTCACCCGCACGTATATGTGAGCACATAAAGTGTGTCTGCCTACATCTCTTCACTCAGAGGTGATGAGGATATAGAGCCATGTTCTTAAGTCTCTTTTGTGCTTCACTGCTCTTTGCATGAACAGAGAAAATATAAATCTAGTGCCAAGATGCTTCTGAAACGAGGATGTAATGAAATTCTGCGTCCAGATATGTTGACTGCCCTCTACAACACATACATGTGGAGCCAGGTAATTTCGGATGTGATGGGAAGAAGTCTTGGGGGCATTCATCTTTATGCTTTCCTTGACTTCCTTTCCCTGCCCCCTGTCCATGGTTTCACATGATAAAGCTGCATAAATGTTCATTCCTGGTAAATGAACACTGGATGTGGCCGCCACTGTGATGACACCATCTGTATATCATCTGACACCTAGGGAACTCCTAGTAAGATTAGCTGAGACTTTTCCAAACTTTATTTCCAAATTGGTATAACATTCATTGATATTTTTCAATATTTGCCCTCTCCCCAAATAGATTCCTGAGAGACTGGGTATATTAAATAGATTTAACAGCATTTAAAAGGTCTGAATATTTAGTTTTTTTATCTAATTTTGGCCATTGTTCAATGATCACTACAAGTGTACCATTTAGGACAGATGAGGATTACAGTACAGCTCTTCTACAATTGTACATAGTCATGGCCCCTCTTGAGTTTGATGCTGAATCTGCTAGGTTATTTCCGGCACTTCTGTCCTCTCGCATACTTGTTAACAGCGTTGCTGATAACATTACCTCCCCACAAGGTCAGTAGAAGCACGCCACCACCGCCTTTCCATCCTATGCTGAAAGGTAAATTTGAAGCAGCAAAAAATGGTGATGATTGCTAACTATCAAATACAATGTTAATAAAATGCCATTGTCCCCATACCAAAAAAGTTTTGGTCAATCTTTTGTATTAGGAACTTGTTTTATCACTTTAGTGTGACATCATCAGCATATGAAATGAGGGCAATGAGGCCTCCCTAGGAATATCCTATTGGCCTGCCACTTTTTTTTTGTCCTGATATGATCATCAAATAGTTGTGCATGAGATATTGCTGTGTTCTCTGTATCTGTGCTGCTTGAAACAGCTTATGTGCATGAAAAAAATCATGACTTGAAAATTACAGAAATGAGTGTCTTTTCTAAAATGATAAATACTTTAAACTCTATATACTTGTTTTTTATTTTACATCTATTGCATCTTTGATATGGAAACATATCTTCAGAGGTCATACATATTTGATGCAGCATACAGGATCGGGCAAAAGTAGGGTTACAGTTGTATGGGAAACACAGTTTATTCTTATATTAGTATTTATTAATTATTGTATTATCTTCCATACTCACAACTGTAAATCTAATTATGGTAATATTTTCCAAATGAACAACTATAAACCTACTTTTTGCCACACCCTGTATTGTGAGTGAATCATTACTTGTCAGAGTCCAGAGATTAAGGGTCTAGTCCTGGCTCTGAGATTCACTCTACATGTACCCTTAGTTTAGTCTCTTACCCCATCTGGGCCTCAGTTTCTGCATGTACAAAATGTATGGGATTATCACTTATTGTTGTTATTTTATCACTCCATTGCAAGCTTGCTATCAAGTACAAGTTTATATTAAACATTTTCAGTTAGGATTTAAAGAGAAAGCATGACCCCATTCCCCCACATCTGTGGCTTGTATAATAATCTTACTATTTGCTGTGGGACTCTCTCAAGGGGAACATGAGATTCCTTAAAGCCCTCTCTTCCACTGCTTAGAATTAACTTGGTCTTCTATTCCACAATTTAGATCAAGTACAGGAAAAAGTATGAAAAATCTAAGGACAAATTTACCTCAATTGTGGACACTCCGGAACACCTGCGTACTACAAAAGTCAACAAACAAATCAGTGATGTAAGTACAAGAAACATTGAACAGATTCTCAAACTCAGGAGGCATTTGCAAATGTGGAGGGTATTCTAGACTGTCACAATGTCCAGAAGACTCTTCTGCCATTCAGTGGGAGTGAGGCAAGGGTGCCAAATGTCCTGCTACGCTCAGAACATTTACAATAAAGAGCTGTTCCAACAAAATTGGGAGACACCCCATTTCAGAAGCACCAGGGCCTTGGCAGAAAGCACGAAAGCACCTGTTGAATTTATAGAATTCACCCACTTTTGTAGACACTCACAAAAGCCCTTTGCACTTATAATGTCACGTTACATTGCACTGTGCATGGAGATGTATAACACTGTCTCTTTCTGCGTTTTCATCTCCTTTAGATACTTTACAAATTGGAATACAACAAGGCCAAGCCCAGAGGCTACACCACAATCCACGACACGCCCATGCTGCTGCATGTCCGGAAGGTCAAAGATGAAGTCAGTGATGTAAGTATCAGAATGGCTCCCCGGTCCCTCTCAGCTTGGCCTCTCTCATGTGATCTAACAAACCCTGGTTCTGTTATCTATTTCTGTGTAACAATCTCCCTGAAACTTAGCGACTTAAAACAACAATCATTTCCCCCCTCGTGATTCTGTGAGCTGAGTGGGCACAGCCGAGTGGACCTTCTATCCCACATGCTGTTGGCAGACAGCTGAGGCTCAGGTGGGCCAGCACCTCAAGAAGGCTCACTCACATGGCTGGTCATTGATGATGATTCTGGGCTGGAGCTCTGCTGTTGCATAGACAGCTCCTCCATCCCCCACCCTCATGTGGTTTGGACATCTCACAGCACAGTGGGTGGGTTCCAAGAGGCTGGAATAGAAGCTTCCAGACCAGTTAAGGGCTATTCTTAGAACTGACAAGAGACACTTCTGCTGTATTTTATTGGGCACAGTGGATACCCAGATTCAATGGGTGAAGAGATAGATGCCACCTCTGGATGAATAAATGGCAGGGTTACATTGTAGAAAGAGGGGGGGCAGGGATATTGTAGAGACCATTTTGAAAAATGCAATATGTCATAAATGCTATGAATACTCTATACACTTTATCTTGACTAAGAAGAACAAGGTAGCCATTAAATTCAAATATCCTGAATTTAAGGAGAAACTGTATTCATAAATTTCCAGATATATAGATAGATTCTGTGGTTGAAAACTATCATGATTGTTTGTTTAAAAAAAAAATTAAGGAACTTCATGGCTACATGGCACCGGAGAGAATATTAAAGGCAGCTGTGGAGTACATGCATCCTTACCCATAGCCTTGACCTCAGCTGGTGGTCAGGAATTCCCTGATAGATGAATAAATGTGTTCACAATGCTGGCCCTGAGCTGCCATGAAAAAATGTTAAATACATTCGTGCACCGTTTATGAAGGCAGAAATGTATTAAAATTTTTTTCGTATTTTTCATGTTAAACTAAGTTTTGGCACTTTAAACATGGACACCGGGTACTCATAAGCATCTGTCAGGTCAATTCTTCATTCAGAGCAGCCCTCCCCTTTCACTGTAGAAAAATGAAGCATTTCGGTGTCCATTCTCCCACATTTTCTGATTCTAACAATAACCTGAGATATGGATGAAAAATATGGATTTCCAGGCCTTTCCTCTGGAGATATTGATTTTTGTGTGTGGTGGAGTGCAGAAAATTGTGATCAAGCAAATTTAGTAATGCTACCAGACTTCCTTAGAACAGTTTCACTTCAGATTTAACCACTTTAACACCTGGGATCCCTCAGCAACAATTAGTGAGAAAACCCAAGTGAGGCTCCAGGGCCCTGAAATTTACGAGGAGCAGAATTGGGTGAAGCTAGAAAACCTGGGCCCAGAATGGGGAAACTACCTGTTGGGCCCTGAGACTAAGCCTTCCCTGACACTCTCCCTCCCATCCAAACCCTCCTATGCCCAAACTGGCCAGATGTGGCTCCAGCGGTGATGATAGTGATGACTACATCCATCCATCCATCCATCCGTTCACTCATTCATCAAATATTTATTGGGTTTCTTTGTGCCTGACACCAGGAACAAATGTGCCTTACATTAGAAACAGATGATGAATGACACACAGTCTTTGCCCTTGGAGGAGTTCAGCTTAATGGAAAGAATGGACAGTTAAGCAAATAATTATGACATGAGGTGATAACAGCTGGAACTGTGGGGGGTACGGAAAGAGGGCAAGACTCATTCCATCTGGGTGGGAGGCGCTACGCTTCCATCAGCAGTTTTCAAGATGTTCTGAACTTGGAATTTCCTGATTTGGAAAAGGGAGAACATACAGGGAAAGCTGTGCAGCTGGCCCTTCCAGCACAGCCTCGGGGGACATAAGTGACACTAGTGAGCACGCTCAGTGTGTCCTGGGAGCTGGTTTTAAGATCTGAGACAGGAACGTACGTGTCTGCATGGCCACAACCTTTCTGCCCACAGATTCATTCTGCCCTAAGGAGCAGTGTGTACTATAATCATGGTTTTAACTTCTTATTTTTTTAAGTATCTTAGTAGACTACTATCAAAAGTTAACCTGGTCATTGTGTTGCCTCCCACAGCTGAAATACAAAGAAGTTTACCAAAGAAACAAGTCCAACTGCACCATTAAGCCAGATGCTGTTCATATCAAAGCCGCCAAGGACGCCTACAAAGTCAACACCAACGTAAGTTCCATAAATCTCCCCTAGCCTAATGGGGGATTCATCAGCTCCTGCAGGACATGGGGTCTCTTACATCTCTTCCCGCGATGGAGTCCAGATCAAGAGTTAGGTGCCAGGAGTGTGCATAAGGATGCTGAAATCTACATGCTGCCTCAGGTTCTCGCAGAGGTCAATGGGGAAGAGCAAGGGTGGCCATCCTGTGCCACAGTCATTACACCCACTCAGCCTTGGTGCTAGGTGGCTGAAAAATATGAGACTTAATTCTGAAATGAGAGATGCATTTTAGAAATTATCTCAGTATCTTTCATTCCCTCCACCCTCTGTATTCTCCTCCTGCCCTAAACCCTAGAGCCTTTTCTTTATGGACAAAAACAAATTTAACCCCTTGGTGCTGTCAGGAGTTGGCCTAAGCCTTCCTTCTGCTCAGATCTCCCTGCGCTGACTCATTTCTTTGTAGTGGGGCATCTTACAGCCTCAACCACAGAAACATTTTTGTGCATTTAGATGAGTATCAGCTTTAAAATATATATATATATTGAAACCATTATAACCCAACTAGCGCCCACTAGTGCCAGAGAGAACATAACGTTTGTTAGGGCCAGCAAACTGAAATGCCTGTAGGGGTTGGCGGTGACTTACAGATGTCCTGAGGATGGATTGAGGGATGGGAAGAAGGATGGATGTGGGGAAAGGCACCTTTTACTAGCTGTCTCACCTTGGGCAGGTTACTAACCCTTCTAGGCAGTTCCTCAGCTGCCGACTGCATGCAGTTCTTACAAAGATTAAATAAACTAATAATTATAAAGCACTTAGAAAAGTGCCTGGTGCAAAAGAATTTACAAAAATGTTTAATATTATTTTAATTAAGCCTGAATTTAGTTAGAAGTTAAAAGTGGTCAAGTGCTCTAAAGATGACTAAGCTACACTGGCAGGGCTGGAAAGATTGTAGAATCTTTTCCCCCAGAGGCCTTTAAACATTTTAGCCCCTATTGGGACCAAAGGGTCCCACAAGAAGACCTCTTGAGTGGCTGACCAGCTGCATAAATTGTAGAGAAATTTTAACTGGGGCTCTCTCTTGCATAAAGAACCACCATTTGTATTATGTGAAAATGCAAGCCGAGTCCCTCTGTGCCATGCGTGTGGTTAGGAATTCAGCCCCCTGACTGATGCGGCTTGTTTTCCTCTTGTTAAAAACAGCTGGACTACAAGAAGCTGTACGAAGCCAACAAAGCCCACTGGAGGTGGATCCCTGACCGACCGGACTTCCTCCAGGCCGCCAAGTCCTCCCTGCAGCAAAGCGATGTGAGAGAGAAGAGACACGCCTGAGACAGAAAAGCAACAATTAGTCATGATAATAACCACCATCGAGGGTGCTAGCCTAGCCCATTCGAGATCCAAGGACAGGGGTTGTGGGAGTAGAAGGCCGGCTCAGGAAGCAGACCTGGCCCCAGAGCCTGGCTCCCACATCTGGGCCCACACACGGGTGGTTTGGGGCCCTGAGCGAGGTTGGGGTGGGGCTGGAGGCGAGCAGGCTTGGGGGGGCTTGTTTTTGGCCTCTGCCCCCATTCTGTAGCAAACCCTCTTCAAGAGGCGGCCTCCTTACGGGTTTGATCAAAGGTTGGCTTTCTCCTGTGCCTGTCCGCCTTTCCCATCTTCCTCTGCCTTTCCTCTGTGACAGTTTGAATACAAACTGGACCGAGAGTTCCTCAAGGGTTGCAAGCTGTCCGTCACCGATGACAAAGACATGGTGCTGGCCCTGAGGAATTCCTTAATAGAAAGTGACGTGAGTACCCGTCCCTTCCATGACACCTAACCCCACTCACAGGCGTCTCCCCAGGGACACCAGGAAAGGACCAGGGCTGCTGCTGTGTGTGTGGGTCCCGGAGTAGGACCTGGCATGGCAGAGCAGGGCGGCAACAGCGGGAAGGTACTAAAGCCTGCTGCCTGTCTTGACCGCTCTCGCACCAGGAGAGAACTCACACAGCAAGAATCAGGAATCTGAGGCCCGGCTGGGTTCCATAGGGAAACTAATTCACGTTTGTGGGCGCCCATTCTTCCTGTGCTGCACTTTCCTCGTCTGGAAAAGAGGAATAACAGTGCCTCCAGGACTTTGGGGGGCAGGGGGGGAAGGGAGGGGGGCATATTTGAAAGTGCTTTGACCTAGGCTATATGTATAAAGATTCATCTCAAGCCCCATTTTGATTATTATTAAAATCTAACCTCACTTGCAAGACATAAAGAAAATCATGACCGCATATTTCCCAAGATTTCCAAACATCACGTCTTGTGTTGAGTTTCATGTTTCCCTCGTGTCAACCATGCTGTTCCCCCAGCTCTGTCTGGTGGCCTGGGAGCTTAATAAAAATATGCAGGAGACCCAGAGGAGCTAACAACACTCTTGCTCACCCCCGCAGCTGAAATACAAAGAGAAACATGTCAAGGAGAGAGGAAGCTGCCACGCTGTGCCCGACACTCCTCAGATCCTCCTGGCAAAGGCTGTCAGCCACCTGGTGTCCGAGGTACCCTTCCCGCTGCCATGGGCTCTGCTTTCCTCTCGGGCTCACGCCCAGCCAGT